CCAAGAAATGCAATGGACGGAACAAGGGATGAGGCAAGTAGGTCCTTGTGACATTTACTACAGTGGACATATAAAGGAGTGCAAATTCGGTGAGGGATTCGTAATGGGAGAGAGACATCGTCGCCGAGTGCTAGCATTAACGCTGGTGGATGAAGGTGTCAAAATCATGTTTGACGACTTTAACGCCAGGGTGGGCAAAGAAGGTATCTTTGGCACAACATTATGGGCTTCCACGATGAAACATACCCAAATAAGTTTAAGCTGATCGCATTTCCGGTGCCCGAAATATGGTACTAGATTCCAGTCCAAGAAAATTCATCAAGCTACCTGCCTGTCTCCGGATCGAAAAGCCACCAACCTGATAGATCATATTGTGATAGACGGAAGGCATGTTTCCAGTGTTTTAGACGTGCGTATGCTCCGAAAACCTTTTAACAATTTTAAAAATTTATCACTACTATTATTGTGAACAGAGCGTCACGATTCCGATTACTTTGGCGGTCGGGGACTAAGAAGGAATTTTGGTATAAATGGGGAATGTGCTGATAGGGGAGCTTCTCCAGAAGAGGAATACGGAAAAATAATGTTGCTAACACTTATTTTTTTTTAATATTCGCGATTAAAACTTTAATAATATGAAGGATTTTTCCACAACAGCGTTTTTATTGTTTGTACTTTCGTGTGACTTTTTTGTTCTCTATAAAAATAATTATTTCCAACATTTTTCGAGCTATAACTGAAGTACTTTCGTGTAGTACTCCTTTCTCTATACTTCACACTTTATTTAATATTTAGTTGTTTATTAAATTTAAATAAGAAAATATCCATATGCATGAAAAGTTTGTTCATACTCATTTAATTTGGAATATAATTTATAGGAACTTGTTTTAATTAGAATTAAGGTTGTTAGATAAAGAAAGAGGAATTTTAGCTGAAAAGAACAATTTCAGCGAGTTGCTCTTATTTGCTTGTTATCATATGGCAGCGCCACATTTCCTCATAATTGTTAGCACATAAGTAAATGATGTACACAAGTGTAAAAAGTATTTTTTTAAATATAGATTTCTTAATTTAAAAAAACAGCAAAAAATGTAAAATGTTAATTTGCATAAAGTGTGATAAATGTGGTGAAACCGCTTTGTTGAAATGTTGCAATTTTTGGAGTTTCTGAACTTTAAAGTAGTTACATACTATATGTACATATGTACCTCTGCGAATGGTAGGCACCTTGCCGCGGTGCAAGGGCTTAGGCGCAAGGCATCCTCGGCATCCCCCAACCGGCGTGACGGTGCTTATAGGCACTGCCTAGGCAGAATGTCGAGTGCCGCATGCGTGCGCCAACCAAGAGCTACCACCTCCTAATCCAGGGTGTTATGCGACTCCCATGCCCAATGGAATGATTTGCAGCCAGGAGGTAAATTCTGCTGTATTCTAACGGAGCCTCGCCAACACCGGGCTGAATTGGGAGTAACTGTGCCATACCGCGTCAAGGGGCTCTGCCGTGGCGGACCCCCTAGTTGCCCATTAAAACTAGGGTCGTAGGAACAAGAACAAAACAATCACACAACACGGAAACAAGGCAACCACAAAGGAAAGCGGACACGGACAACGAATAGGAAATCGGCGAAGCGGTAGGCAAAGGGGGTCAAGGAGCTAGGCGGAAGTTTAGCTTCCTTGACGGGCTCTCGACAGAGGAGCGGGCGCTGTTTGAGGCGTATGCCAGGGAGGATGAGGACGACATGCCCTCCTGCAGCGTCGGTCGCCTAGCGAAAGTGCCTGGTGCCGCTGAAGCAGCAACGAGCATCTCCAAGACCCCCGCCAGAAGCCGGAGCGGGTCGCACTCGGGTACGTCACATCGGGCAGAGCCCGACGACGGTGCTGGAAGAAGAAGGAGGATGCGCAGAAGAGGTGGGCAACGCCCTCTCTCGGAAGCTGGCAAACCCGGCGGGTGTGACGAAACGCACAGGAAGGGAATGAGAAACCATGAAGTGGTACCTGTGGTACCTCCGAGATGGGAAGACTCCTGACGGAGCGGAGACTATGGCCAGGAGTAGGAGCAAGGGGAGCAACGCGTGCCGAGAAAAGGAGAGTGAAAAAACCGTGTCAGCTCGCGCACGAGGCAGCGGTACCAGCAACAGTGGCCAGGTCAAGGCCACCTTGACCGCAAGGCATGGCGATAGTAGGGCAGCGCCCTCTGACACGTATGTTCAAACCGGGAAGCAGAATAGCGGCCAGATCACGTCACAGGAGCCCCCCAGCTCCAAAAGGTTGGTGGACAGCCTCGCAATGGCGTTCATCCCCGAAGTATTAGATGATAGCGAAGATGATCTTCATACCCAAGGAAGGAAGGAAAAACTACTCATTGGCGAAATCTTTCAGGCCAATCAGCCTAACGTCTTTCCTTCTAAAAACCATGGAGAAGATCGTGGTCCAGGAAATAAGGATGAAAGGGCTAAAGAGAGCACCGCTGCATGCGGCTCAGCATGCCTACAAAGCGGGCAGATCTACCAGTACTGCTCTGTACCAGCTGACCTCTGAGATAGAGAGTTCACTGGAGCATGAGGAGGTGATGCTTTGCGCGTTCTTGGACATCGGAGATGCCTTTGATAACACGTCTCACAAGAGTGTAGTCAGGACACCGGAATATGGGCAGCACCGGTGCGTAGATGGATAGAAGATAAAAAGGATTCGTCTCGGCACAACAAGAGGGTGCCCACAGGGAGATGCGTTATCACCCCTGCTATAGAGTCGAGTCGTAGACCTGCTAGCACTGCTAACGGACAATGGGATCCGCTGCCAAGGGTATGCGGACAACATTGTAATTATGGGCAAGGGCAAATACGAGGACTCTCTCTCTGACTTAATCCAAATAGGTCTAAACCTAGCGAAGGGGTGGTGTAGGGAGATTGAACTGAATATCAATCCCTCCAAGATGACCGTAGTCCCGTTTACGACACGCAGGTCCCTGCCCGGTCTTAGGAATCTCACACTTGGGGGCAGTGAAATAGGGATAAGCAACAGTATCAAACACCTCGTTTTGATGCTAGATTCCACTCTGCGGCGGAAGCAGCATGTAAACCTGACCTTGCTCAATGCGACAAAAGCTTTAATGGTGTGCAACCGGCTGGCGGGAAAGTCCTGGGGCTGTAAGCCAAGGATCGTTAGGTGGTTGTACACCATGATAGTGTGACCGATAATCACATATGGGGCGGTGGCCTGAGCCTCAATACTGTCGCAAACTTCGGCGCAGGGTTTGTGGGCCCACGCACTAAGCTTTTCATACCGATGGGAGAGTTCCCGAGCATTTTCCAGGCAAAAGTTTTGGCCATAAAACGGTGTATAGACATAAACCTCCATCGCAACTATCGCAATGAGCGACTAGCCATTCTAAGCGATAGTCAAGCGGCGTTTAAAGCGATCTCCTCTTACGAAATCAAATCGCTACTAGTGTAGGAGTGCAGATAAAGGGTTAACAGCCTTGCGAACGAAACCAGGTACACCTAATCTGGGTGCCTGGTCACAGAGGTATATCCGGAAACGAACTGACGGACGAGCTCTTTACGGGTTTGGGTCCCCATACCATGAAGGAGCTGCTCCGAAAGGAAGGAGTGGGCAGGGAGGAGCATTGACAACAAACTCACGGTATGACACATACCAAGTTGCTAATGGGAAGTTACAACTTGAGAATATTCAAAGTTGTTATAAACCTCCCCAGGAACAAACTCAGGCTACTATTCGCATGGTACACTGGTCATTGCAAACTGAATAGGCATCAGCATAGCATGGGCCTATCCTCTTGCGACTGCCGATTCTGCGACAGGGAGCCTGAAACACCGGAGCACCTGCTGATCGACTGCACAACAGTCAGTAGACGCAGGATTAAGGCACTTGAATCGATGTTTGAGGATAAGGGTCGCATTGCCTCACTAGCACACAGTAAGCTATTGGATTTCATCAATGCGCTGGGGCTAATTGAGACAATGTGAGCCAGGAGAGGGCACAATAGACCAAAGGTCGCGGTGCATCCCTCATCTTTCAATCAATCAATCAATATGTATGTAAAATTATATAATATTGAAAGATTCCGATAAACATTGGTTTGCAAGATTTAGAAAATTACAATTTTATGTGCAATCAAATATGACAGGTAAATACAAGAGTAGCATTTTATATACGTCTTTTATGTGTTTTCCAATTCTATTCGATACCACACAAACAGATTGTTGTATATATGTATGTATGTATTCTTAGGTACACTTTTAAAAACTTGTTTTCTTTCACTGGCGCGGTCAATAGCATGCGAGAGTAGCGGTTGAGAAGGCAAATGAAATGTTCTCTTGATATCAATACATTATTCTTTTTAGAGAAACTGAGCATTTGTCTAAAAAAATTCTACACAAACAGTAACTATTTACTTCAAACTTTTATATTATAATATAAATATTTCCATTATTTATTTTTGTACGTGTTCGGGCACATTATTATTTTTTTTATTACCGAAAAATTATTTATTTGACATTTTTCGTACATTGACACAGGTACAAAAAGGAGTCAAAAGCATAACGATAACAAAGCTGCTCATTAAATGAAAACCGTTAAAGCAACTTAATATTTTGGTATCTAAAATTTGTGTGTGCACATTTTAACACACGTTCACATTTCCTGTTCTGTAACTGATTGGCATTCATCAGCGACAGCAAACAAAGCTCGACATAGTCATTATCGTACGTATGATCAACACTAGTTTTCTACTGTTTATATTTTCTAATTATTATTTTTATATATTTTCATTTGTTGCAGTAACAGTCGGTAACGTCGCCTTTTTTGTTTTATTTAGCCATGGTATGACGCTGGTTATTCGGCATGTTTAAGATTCTCTATCGTGGATTATTAACGCTAACTGTTTTTCTTCAAATTGTATTTTCATTTTGGCATATAATTCGTTTATAAACTTATACAAAGTTTTACTTTGCTTTTTAGTATCAGAAGCTTAAATTCACCTCAAATTTTGTATGAATATCTTATTTTCTCGATATATTTAACTGCACAATACTAACAACCGCACTAATAAACTGAACAGGAAACGTCAAATTTTACGAAGCACACTCAGTACATTGTCTGTTCGTTGTTGCCGCCGCAGTCATTGGCAACAGACACATTTGTTTTTGTTTTGTTCTTTATACCTGCAGAAAGCATTCGCGCGGGCAAAACTACAGATGCCCTCTTTTCACACATGCAATACGGCTGAATATGGAGAGCGCAAAACTGAAAAGACCCTCCCAAACAGTCGAAATCAAACAGTGTTGCATTTTGTAGTATAATATATATTAAAACACAAACAAATAAGTATCACAAAATAATACAGATGTGTTTTAAAGATATTAAAAAAATACCATTTCAGCAATTATATACTAATTTATTATTTACACTAATAATCATTATCAAAATTATTGCAGCCCTAACATGAAATTTATCGGTAAATTGTACGGAAAATTACTAACACGATAACACTATTGGTTCTGGTCAGTGACTTCTAACCTCACAACTTTATTTACCTATAAAATTTTCTCTTCCAAACTTTCGGCTGAACTAATCAAAAAGAGAATTTTTAAGCTAAACAAAATAATTAGAGGGAAAACATTATATACCATAATACACTCAAACTATTCATAATAACGAGCTATTTGCTGCATATACATATGTATGAATTTTTCTCTATATATCAATATGAAATAATATTTATAGAATAAGAAAAAAAAACTAAGCGATTGAACTGCCATTGAAAATTTCAGGTCAAATGACTTTCGGCCGGTGACTAATGCAAAAGGGGAAACTCCTAGGGTTTCTCTCCAATTACATACTTTGCGCATATCTATATATACATATGTAAATATATTGTACATACAGATATAAAAATATATCTACATATTTCTTACACCATATAATGCCAATTTTCTCTCATTTTGACGGTTAGTAAAACGATGCAATGAAATTATTAAGGATATAAACGTATACGAAATTAGCTCCATGATAATATATCTAATCTAATATAACCACAGACATGCTTACATTATTGTGCATTATTCTACGTATCTATTATTTAGTAAAGTAGCAAATCCGCTCAACATCAAATCCAGATATAAATGAATCACGTAGGTACAAGTTATCGCTATACCGCATCCTGTTTATCAGCGACCCGCTACTAATTGACTCAATCACGAAATAAAAATAAACAAATATTTACAATACAAATGCACCATCAAAAAATTCCGTCTACCACCCTCCTCTTCTCTCTTTTCTTTCACATCTTCTCGATCACCAAATGAACATAATTTTTTTCTCAATGAGCTGATATTTGCCCGCAATAATATTGAACCAAATAACTCCTTGCTGAATTCATTACGATTTACTAGCGCCCTTGGATTGGGAAACATCCATACATCCTACATTAATGAACGTTGTAACCACGTCGCAGTAAGTCAAAATCTCGACCGCAAGGCACGTTTATCATACTTTTCAAGAACCTATTATAAGCGTATGTACATTTGTAATCATCATACAAACTGTTCTATTCAGCAAATTTATTTTCCGCGCTCAGTTTAGAGTATGTTTTGCTTACCCGATACATACAAAGCATGTCACACCTTGCCTCTCAACCCTCCCAGATCACAAACACTTAAACAAACAATGGCACAGCAGTCTAAATGTATCCGAATAGAAACATACAAAAATACACTTTGCGCTCGTATCTGCTCGCTCAACATACGAATAAAGTGAACCTCGTCTAATTACGCCAACAGCAGCAGCAGTCGACCTGGGAATTTTTTATGTACTTAGGTTTTTTCCTTTCTCGTTTCCACTTTGTACTTTAATACTTATATCGTAATATCGATACAAAATTTCACGGTTAAACTACTTCAGATTAGCTCAATTTTAGAGAAACTACTCGTATCATCACCTTTTTGTATTTTTAGCAATAAGTATAATATTAATTGTATTTTTCAACGATTAACTTTTCTTGTACGAACAGCAGCTGAGAGATGACAACACGCAACTAAAATGGCGGACGTTTCTCCATTCGGTGTTCATCCGTTTTCATTTGTATTAACTTTGACGTAGTTGCACTGCATATGGGTATGTGATTGTGAGTGAACGGTTTGCAAAACAAAATAAATTGAGAGAGGACAATCTATTCGTATTTATTATATATACAACGTGATGCCAATCGTTTGAAATTAAGGAAGCCATCAAAAAATCCAAAAAATCCAAAAATAAATCAACACAAGAATATAAGTGCGACTAAACAGCATTGAAGGAGTCTCCGCATTTTAGATGTTTACAACTTTTAAAAATCAACAAGGAACTTCGACAAAAATAGTATATAATACAAATATATTAAAATATTAGTCCCCAGAAGCCTTTGTAAAAATATGCAGATAATAACAAATTAAAATGGTACCGTGCTGATGGCAAAGCAAGTTATATAGAATTAACAATTTTTTAATCTAATTTTTTACATACACAAATTAAGTTTTTTATATTTTTTTAATTACTTTTTTATTTGGTTCCCTGCCACAAAAACTCGTAAAATATTGCGATCATCTCCAACATAAATGAATTTCTGAACCATTTCTAACAAAATCATGTCTGGAGACTTGTTGTCATTACTCTCGTAATTGTGTAACGGATAGTTGCTCGTATCGACCATCAATGCATCAAAGTATTTTCCAATAGCGAAATTGCCAGTGATATTACTCAGAGCCAAAGCCTCAGCACCACCAAGTGTTGCCAAAAATATTGCTTGTTTGTAATTAAGAGGCTGATATGCTTGGTCTTGTACCTCTAGGCGTCCGCTTCCTTTAATCTCCTGTTTTTTCACAAATTCCAAATGATGAGAAACATCGAGTGCACGAAGCATAGCATCCTGTATAGACATCGAGTTTCCACCCGAAACATCTGAATAAATATAGTGTTCATAATATATAATAATTTATAATTTATGCCTTAAATATAATGAAATACAATGTATAGTACATACCTGTACCCAAGCCGACTTTTATTCTATTTTTAATCAGTCGCAGTACATCACATAAGCCTGAACTTAACATATTATTCGAGGCGGGACAATGAGCGACCGAAGTTCCACGTTTGCCAAAGAGCTTTATTTCTTCATCGTCCAAATGTACAGCGTGTGCCATAACTGTCTATAAGTTTATTTAAGCCCTATTAGGGTTTGCAACTCAACTGTTTTTTGGTTGAAGCTTTAAAATTCTGTATTAGTATTAATATTCATATATGTATATGTATGAACATATAAATCGAAACGAATGGTAATATTTATTGACCCTTCCTTTAGCTATCACTACTATAACGATTAATAAAAAATTGTCAAGTGAATTTAGTTATACATAGTTCGTAATACCTAAAAAATTTGGTTAATCTCAAATTGAATTTATTTAACTTCAATTCAACTGAGTTTGAGTTGAAAACCATACATATTTATTGATCTATGCGCTTTACCTTAGGTGTTAGCAATCCAGCATTATCATATGCCTCCGCATAACTGGTATTATATAGCGACTTGACAAAATCAATTTCGGACAGATTTTCGCTAATATGACTCTAAAAAAATAAAGAAATTTTAATACATTTCTAATAATCACATAAAAAATTGTTGTCTCAATTTTTACCTGTATATGCAAATCATTTTTGTGTGCAATTTCTCCAAGTTTGGCCATTAATTCCTTGGTACAGCTCAAAGCAAATCTTGGTGTAATAGTGGGTTTGACCAAATCTGTCTCCAGTTTTTGTATATCTTTTACGAATTCCTCTGTAGAAGCTATAGACTTATCCGTTGTTTCACTGATTTTTAAAAAATTATTTTAAAATTCAAATATTGTTTCTTAATGTTTTTGGAACATACACATAAAATTCCGGACTATTTTGATTCGAACAGACTTTTCCAATCAACGCGCGTTGACCTTGGCGCAAGGCTTCTTTTGCTAAAATTAAAGTGCTCTCTTTGTGATTGGTACCGAAATAGGATGCAAGTGTGGTGCCCGCCTTTATAGTATTTTCCTTAATAAGAAAATAATGAAAAAGAACATATGTATGTATATATAATATAATATTAACCAGTATCTATCAACGTATTCACTATCGAGTTTTATATAAATCTCATTATTTCTGCTTCTACATTGACTCAAAGCCAGTTATGACATAAAATAAATGACAATTGTTACATAAATACATACTATGTATGTACATAAATACATACTATGTGTGTATATACATATTTCTTTAAGTAGAAATCTTAGAAAAATTCATGTTGAGTGAATCAAATTTGAATTTAAAAACAAGTGCATATGTACAGCTTTCTTATGAACTCACCACAACTTTTGCGTAGGTTTTCTGTGCGAACTTCTGGTCTGCATATTTCGCTTCCAATGGAAATGTATAGGTATTCAGCCAATCTAAAAGAGGCATATCTAGACCAAGCCCGATTTGTGCTACTTGGGGTGCGTGAATATGACAATCAACAAAGCCAGGCATAAGAAATTGATCATTGCTCAGTCGTTCAACAGTAGCACCTTTAAAATTTGTGTGCTGCGTTAACCATTCATTATAAACGAACTCATTGCCAACGCCAAATATCTAATAAAATTATTAAAATATTTTCAGTAAGATAGAATTGTACCATCTTTCTCTTTATTTAGAAAGAGAGGCTACATACATACATACAAAATATAAACAAATATACATATGTACATATCCGCATGTTAAAAAGACAATTGAATTTTGTATCACATACTTTGCCTTTCTGATCAACTGCAATAAATCCACTTGTAAAGATCTCGAAGTCATTCAAAGACTTAGTATGTATGATTTGTCCAAAGAAAACCTTTGCCATTTTTTCAACTATAAAAAACGTCAGCACCTTTCGATATAACTTTAACACTTTTAAAAAAGCTCTTCACAATTCCACGTTACTTTCGTATCGGCTAATGATTCCTCACTGTTTATAAGTTCACAAACAGGCTCTCTAATTGTTAGAAATTTACTTACTAAAATATACACATACATACTACATTTTTTAAAAGATAAGCAGTTTCCATTTTTAAATATGTATGTATGTACGCTTATATTTTAATGGAATTAAAAATTGAAATTTATGCTATGATGAATCTATGCTGAAATTTATATAAAATCTTTCAATTTATTATGAAAAAGTATGTATTTCGCTTGCTTTGCTATGTAATAATATTATTAATATAAAAAATGGGAGTACTTTATTCCAACTGTCTTATGGTATTTTTTCCATATTCATAACTTAGCAGGGTAACCGAGTTTTCTATTTGCATTCCGCAAGTAATGTCATTCTCTGCAATGTGCGAAGAGAATTACAAATAAACAAACATTATAAAACAGCTGTTTTCATTTGCATTTCATTGTTAATGCATTCAGTTATTTTAATATATGATTAAAAGCAATCTCGAAATAAAGTTACGACAAATTATATACAGGAATGAGTGTTATAAAAGTCAATATATCTTGTCCTCTATGTGGGATTGAAATTAGGGATAATGTAAATCGACTGGTGACTGACAGTTGTGGGCATAGCAAGTGTCGCCGTTGTCTCCTTGCTGATGATGAATGTTCAGAATGCTTAAAGTCGAAACGATGTAATACTGAAAATAATACAGGACACGATGCAATCGTTGCAAGTGGGGCAACAGTCGAGACGAATCTTAATGCTACGGCCAAACCTATTAAGAAAAAAGGTAGAAAAGTTGCTTCTATGCCAACGCACATTCACCGATTATACAGCGATTTGGACTCCGGCGTCCGTTATTACTGTATACCTTGTGGTAGACAATTTGGAAGTCGCTCGCAACAATACTATCATTTAACCTGTGGTAGCGATGCTTCCAAGAAATACATGTGCCAGCAATGCGATAAGGTAAGTTAATTAATTTTTTTGAAGTGCAGTACATATATTTGTTTTAAAATTAGACGTTTTCTACAAAATCCCATTTAAAATATCACTTGGAAACACATGAGGAGCGCATATATCATTGCGGAGAATGTAACAAATCATTCTCAAATCGAATAGTTCTCCAGAAGCATGAAAGGCTTCATCGCGCTCCTTCTATTCAATGCACAGAATGTAGTAAATCATTTCGCAACAGGGAATCGCTGTCATGTCATACTCGGCAACTCCACGGAGGCAATGAGTTACCTTATACATGTGAAGTCTGCCAGAAAAGCTATGCTTTGAAATCTACTTTAAAGCTACATATGCAAAAGCATTTTGGTGAGTTGTCAACATTCCAAATATTATTTAATATTAATTAATTCTTTTCAGATAAGAAGTATGCGTGTGAATACTGTGATAAACGTTTCCAACGTAATTATACACTCAAATTACACCTTAAAAAACATACAAAGACTGATTGCTATATTTGTGGTATTTGCTTAAGAAAATTCAGTGACAATGCAGTTTTGTTGCGGCATGTTAAAGTACATCAAGGTTAGTATATGTTTCAACTTAACTCCCAAATAACTTCAGATTTATTTTCAGATGTCGTTAAGTTTCGATGTCTAGAATGTAATGCTACCATCATTCGCAAGGATAACATGTTGCGACATATTCGCACTATACATTCAAATAGAACTTTTGACGACTGTGCTGAACTAATATACCCCATTAGTACCAAAACACTGAAAGCAATTGAATATGAAAACCATATAGAAGACTCATCACCAATTGGGGAACCAAAGACTGTAGAGAATAGTGCCGTTATTAAAAGCATAGGAAATGTTCAGCCAATGAAAGTTCCAAATTATCACATTGCCACTACACTCACCACAAATATTAAATCACCACCTACCCAATCTACCATTGCACCCAACACCTCGAACAACGATTCTACAGTTATCCTTTTTCCGAAAGTACCCATAAATGCAAATATTGTGTCTGGTGGAAGTTCTACAGTTGTTCAGAAAAAAGTTAAAAAGTACGATCCAATTAAAATGTATCGAAAGATTTTGACTTCAGATCGAGATGAAAGTGCCTCCGAAAGTGATAGTGAGAAAGAAGAAGTGTATGGCATAAAACCGCATTATTCTGATAATTCTATTTCCTGTGTGAGCTTAGCAACTCCTGAAAAACAAATAACGGTTAACACTTCAAATTTCAGTGAGACGCATTGGCGTAAAAACTTTAGATATACCTACCAATATCAAGACTTTTAAATATTTTTTTTACAATTAAGTATACACTTACTAATTGTGCACATGTTTTTTTTTTTAATACATTATCTTAATATATTTTTAATATTCTATAAACACGTTTGCCTTTTCACTAAGCCTTAACTTTTTATATTTTACTGCAAAAAAAATAGAATAATATATGTACATATGTATGTACCATAGATGAGCAAAGAATAGTTTGGCCCAATGCCATCGGTTTGATGTATTCTTTGACAT